CACAAATAGAACTCTAGTAGCTTGGGATAAAATGTTCCTACCTAAGTCTGTAGGAGGATATAATCTGCTAGACCTCAGAGTATGGAATAAGGCTGCTATCACCAGTGTATATTGGGACCTTGCACAGAAGAAGGATAAAATGTGGATAAAATGGATCCACATTTACTACATTAAAGGACAGAGGCTCATGGAGATGAACATCCCTCAACAGGCAAGCTGGATGGTGAGAAAAATAATGGAAGCAAGGGAAGTGGCTCAGCAAGTTCCTACAGTACTAAACAAGGAAAGGAAAACCAAACAAATATACTTGGCCATTCTGAGGAGCTATAGCAAGGTACCTTAGAGAGCTTTAATGTTCCATAATGAAGCTAGACCCAAGGCATTATTCACTATGTGGATGCAATGTCATGAGAAGCTTCTGACAACTGATAGACTTGCAAGCTGGGGAGTTCAAGTAAATGCTAGAGGCTGTTTATTTGAAGAGGCAGATGAATCACATGACCACCTATTTGGTAAGTGTAAATTTATTACAGCAGTTTGGGGAAGGCTCATGCAGTGGATACAACACCAGATGAACTCAAGGCAATCATATACACAGATGAAGACATGGATAGTGACACAAGCAAAAGGAAGATCATGTACAGCAAAAATTCTGAAAATGATCTATGCAGAACACATTCATGGGATATGGAGAGAGAGGAACAGCAGAATATTTGAAAATACACGGAGAACAACAGAGCAGATTGCACGAGAGATAGCATGTGTTTGCAACGTCAGAGCCCAAGGTGAAATGAGGAAGAAGATGCAGCAGTTTAAATATTGACCAGCTTATTTGTAACGATTTGTGTACTGCTTCTAAAATAGGATAGTATTAGATTTTATGTAAAGACTAAGTGAGTCGAGGAAGACTCAACTGCTTGTAAATGCTTCTTTGGTGATTAATGAAATTACCAAAAAAAAAGTTCAGTAAGTTTGAATTGGAGGGTGATTCGTGTTTTTAGCGTTTTTAATGGGATTTGAAGGCTCGACTAAGTTCGTATGATGTTTTAGGACTTGTTGGTATGTTTGGTTGACGTCCCGGAGGCCTCGGGTGAGTTTCGGATGCTTAACGGGTCAAAAATGGACTTGTGTATATTGCTGAAGCTTTCAGGCTTCTGGTGTTTTCGCAGCTATGGTGAGGAGACCGCAGGTGCGGGATTGCACGTGCGTGAGGTCAAGCGCAAAAGCGATTTTGGAATGAGTGGTCAGGGATCGCAGGTGCGAGGGAAATGTCGTATCTGCGATGCCCGCAGATGCGCATAAGGACCCGCAGGTGCGGAGAAGACCACAGAAGCGGGCAAATGTCCGCAGGCGCGCACTCGCAGGTGTGGCCCTTTTATCGTAGAAGTGACCCAGACCTCTTAAGTCATTTTCACACCTGCGATGGAATTTCCACAGGTGCGGCATAGCAGGTGCGACTGGAAGCCCGCAGAAGCGAAATCGCTAGGCAGAAAAAGGGCAAGTTCGAGGGTTTTATCCCATTTTCAATTTTGGAACTTTGAGAGCTCGGATTTGGGCGATAATTTGGGAGATTTTCAGAGGAAGTTTTTGGGTGATGATTTTTCACTCCTTTATGGTTATATTCCACTAATCTATAGTTGATTTCATCATTTAATTAAGGAATTTGGTAGAGAAATTTGGGGAAAAATGGGAGAAGTTTTTCAACTAAGTTTTTGAGTTCTGATTGGGAATTTGATATCGAATTTGGATAATTTTGGTACGAGTGAAATCGTGAGTGAATGGGTGTTCATATTTTGTGGCTTTTACCCGCTTCCGACACGTGGCCACGAGTCGACTTTTTGGGGCAATTTTCTAATTTCTTGCTTAAGCCTTGATTTCATTAATTAGATTAGTTTCTTATAGTTATATTTTGTGGTATGTAATTGCTTTTGGCTAAATTTGGGCCATTCGGAGTCGGATAATCGTGGAAAAGACATTGTTATTGATTGATTGAGCTTGGTTCGGGTTAAGTGGCTTGCCTAACCTTGTGTGGGGGAAATCCCCTTAGGATTTGATACTGTTGTTTTATGCGAGCGCCGTGTACGCGAGGTGACGAGTGCGTACACGGGTTAGTTGTTGTATAATCCGGTTTTTACTGAGTAGTAACATGTTTTCATCTTAATTGAGTTATACCAGCATATGTAGTTATCCTTTTTAGTCTAATATCGCATGTCTGCGTGCTTTAACTGCTTATTTGAACTCTGTGCAGCATGCCTAGCTGATTTCCCATATTTCCTTCATCTATATCTGTCTTAACTGTAGAATTATTGCCGTTAATTGTTGTATATAGCGGTTTGAGCTGTGTGTTTACTTTTGGGACTACGAAGCGGTACCTCGAAAGATCCCCCTGCACCTTTACTTTGAGACTACGAGGCGGTACCTCGGAAGATTCTTCCTGCACATTTACTTTTGAGACTACGAGGCGGTACCTCTGGAGATCTCCTTGCATATTTACTTTTGGGACTATGAGACGGTATCTCGAGAGATCCCCTACTGCTTTATCCCTTTGTGCCGTACTGTTATTTTGCTGTGTTTTCCTCTTTGTTAAATTCCGGTCTCCTATTATATTTCTATATTCTTCTGCTTTATTTATTATATACCAGTGGGCCCTAACTTGACCTCGTCACTACTCGACCGAGGTTAGGCTTGGCACTTACTGGGTACCATTGTGGTGTACTCATGCTACTCTTCTGCACATGTTTTGTGTGCAGATCCAGGTACTTCTTGTTAGCCACGTCATCAATAAGCAGTGACAGTTTGGATACTTTAAGGTATATCTGCCGCGTCCGCAGACCTCGGAGTCTCCCTCTATTTCGTCCTATGTCATTTACCTTCCGTACTTCTTTTCTTAGACTCTTGTGTATAGAGATACTAGTTTTCTTCTATAGCTTGTGACTTATGATGTTCCGGGTTTTGGCAAAATATTGTGTATACTCGAGTGTTGGTATTGTACGTGCCGAGAGACATTTTATCAGTTATTTGATTATCTATTTCATTTAGTTGTTAGAGTTTTGCTTTCATTTTTGTTATTTCGGTAAATTGCTAGGCTTACCTAGTCGTAGAGACTAGTTGCCGTCATGACATCTTACAGAGGGAGAATTGGATCGTGACACAAAACTTTATTACTCCCGTCCTTCCATTTTATGTGACATAATTACCATTTAAAAAGTCACATAAAGTGAAGATTCTATGTCCGATTTCACATTAAAAATTAGATAGTTTGATGCTCGTATCATACCGCATAAAGTGAGACATACCGCATATAATTTTAAAATAAATAAATTTGATGTAGTAAAAAGATTCTCTCTCTAGAATGAGAGCTTCTCTCAGCTCCGCTGATGACGAGAAAATCAAATACTAGAGGGAGGGGACAACAATGGAAAGGTAGCAATCAAGGAATAACCATGGCGAAACTGGGAATACCAGACTCTGCAGATGCAAAGAAACAACGTAGCATTAATGCAATCCAAAGAATAATACCATTGGACTTAACAATAGCATCCACATCGAAAACACAGCAAATGAGCAATTCAGTGAACAGAGAAAGGGGAACTGTGGATCTAAGCTCGGGGAAAACATCCTAGGCTGACATGGTGGAGGAGGAAGCCATAGACAGCAAAAACAAAAGTACGCAGTTGAATTCAAACTCAAGACCTAAATCATGGAGTCCTGTAATAGGAGCAATTCCGAGTACAGAGGGGTTAGATATGAGCAAACTTGTAGAGAATCATACGAATGTGAGAATTGCTTTGGATGACATCAAAGACAAGGTGGAGTATAAGTATCGGCGGCGGTCTGCTATGTCCTAGAATCCAATCATCCACAACCTGTAATGGATGGATATTTTCAGAGGATATGGGGGAAATTGGGAATTGATAAGGTGGCACAAATTAGTCAAGGGGTATTCATTGTACGATTTCATGATATGGAGAATAGGAATAGAGTGGTAGAAGAGGAAGTCTAAATGTTCGACAGAAAGCCAATAATAGTAAAGGTATGGAAGCCAGATATGGACTTCACTAAAACTCAAATGAAGAAAATACCTGTGTGGGTAAGATTGCCGGGACTGGACATCAAGTACTGGGGCAAGGTTGCGCTAACTAAAATAGCAGGTCTGATTGGGCAACCTCTCAAAGTAGATAGAGCAAACATGCAAAGGAAAATATTAATATATGCTAGAGTATTGGTGGAGATTGTGTGGAATCAAAATATCCAACATCAATAATGTTTGAGAATGAATATGGTAAAGTAGTAGAGCAAACTGTAGTATACAAATGGAATCCTGTGTTATATGACAAATGTGGTAACTATGGCCATGAAATGAAAGAATGCAGGAAATTCCTTAAGGAGGAAAAGGGTAAACAGGGGAAAATAGAAGAAACTAAAAAACACCAGGGACAGGGGAATGAAAACATCAAGGAGATTATTAATGAAAAGGAGAAAGCAATAGAGGCAATGACCAAAAGTCCTGCAGAAAAAGGGGAAAACTAGATCAAATAGATGACAGGCAAGTAAGGCAACCAACAAGGATTCAAGGCAGGCAAATACATAAAAAAAAAGGGTGACCTTACCGAATACAACCAAAAGCTAGGAAACATTCTCTAGCCTAGTGGAGAAACAACTAGTAGAAGAGAGGAACAAATATTAAGGAGAACCAAGCTCTTCTTTCCTTGAAGGAGTGCAAGGCGCAGGGGAGCCAGGACTTGGAAAGGGTGGGGGCCTCCCCCATCCTAATGGATAACATAGGTTTCTGGAACACCAGAGGACCTAATAACCATGCCAAACAGAAGAAGATAAAGCTATTCATGCATAATGCCAGGGTAGGGGTATTTGGTCTTATGGAAACAAAGGTGAAGAGAGCAAAAGCTCAACAAGTCTCTCTTCACCTCTGTCAAGGCTGGTCGTTTAGCACAAATCTATCCCAACATCCAAGAGGAAGGATATGGATTCTATAGAATCCTATGCTATATGGAGTCAACATAATCAGCGTAATAGCACAACTTATTCACTGTGAGTTACATCATAGAGGGACTGGCAGAACACTACATGCGACTGTGATTTATGCATTCAATGATGTTGCACTCAGAAGAGATCTATGGCAGGCAATCAAAGACATTCATGTTCAGATGAAAGGCCCCCGGGCGATAATGGGGGATTTTAACTGTGTTCTATATAAGGAAGAGAGAATGGGAAGCCCTATCACAATGGCAGAGATAAGAGACTTTAAGAAATATGTTGAGGATTGCTCATTGATGGACCTTAAATTCACTAGAGCATTCTTCACATGGACAAACAAGCAAAGTGGAGGGGATAGAGTACTCAGTAGAATTGATAGAGTAATGGTGAATAATGAGTGGGGTCTTAACCTACCTGCATCAGTAGTAAATTACAGGAATGAGGGGTTGTTTAATCACTATCCAGTCATTATAAGTTGGGACAAAGGTAGCCAACCGAAGAATAAAATGTTCAGATACTTCAATATGTGGAGCTTGGCACCAGACTTCAAGGAGAAATTAAAGTCAGGATGGAGGACTGATAGGAAAGGCACTAAAATGTATGAACTAGTGGGAAAACTACACAAAATCAAACATACATTGCAAGAGCTAAACAAAGATAGATTTACTGAGGTTGAGAGGAAGGCAGATGAGGCAATGCAGAAACTTCAAAATTTTCAGGAAAGAATGCAAAGGGATCCATGTAACATCCAACTAATAGAAGAAGAGGCTATCCTGTCCGAGCAATGCAAAAAATGGAATAATGCTAGAGAGCAGTTCTTGAGGAAAAAATGCAAAATACAATGGCTGACTCAAGGAGACATGAACACAAAATTTTTTCATAGTATGATGAAAGCAAGAAGGAACTCCAATAGAATATTCTCTATTGACAATGCAGATGGACAACACACAAATGATCTAGAGGGGATAGCTAAGGCTTTTATAACCTTCTATGAAAGTCTATTGGGAACCAATCAAAGGGATAGGGAGTGTCACACCCTTTTTTTACAACCTCACTAACCCTCTTAAATTAATAAAAGTGATTTTTGAAGCTCAAAAGGGTTTTCAATTAGAAAGTGACAAAGAATTGTGTTCAAAAGGATTAACTCAGAGTCGCCACCTGGCATTGGTTTCGGTGTGCCAGGTCACCGTTTTCAAAATAACAATTTTCCTTTAAAACACATTTAACTCTTAAACCAGATTGCACCAGAGATTCGGGTAAGGGGGTTCATCTGACTCGGGGAGAAGGTGTTAGGCATTCCCCGAGTCCCGTAGCTAGTACGGTTGTATACATCATCAAGTTGGCTTTTTAAAATATTCAAATTGAGGTAAAAACACAGGAAAGAAAAACAAAACACACAAGAGGCTCGAGGTCGTTCCCACCTAATAAAAGAAAAAATAAAAATAAAAATAAAATACTACGAGTTCTACTTTCGGCCTCCAAATACAAATACTTCAGGGCATACCCCGGATAAAAATATATACAAATCCTTCGGGGCATTCCCCGAATAAATTTAACTAAGGGAACGACCTCTCGCCTCGAAACTAACAAAACTCCTAAGGCTTGCCTACCCAAGTGTGGCCGACCTAAACATGCTACTAGCGTTAACGAAACTAGAAGTAACGAAACAGCCCATTAGTCTTTGTTCTACCTAATTCAACTTTGCTGAACAAGCAAAAATCCACAAGAAGCAACAACAAGAAACTCAGTATACTCAGAAGGTTATCAAACTAATTTCAAACAAGCTAGTGAATGAAACAACCAACACAACTAACTTAAAAAAACAACAAGCTAATTTTAAGAAAATAGACAAGTGAACGAGACAACTAAGCATGTCAAACCAAATTAAGCTAGAAATTCAATCAAAAATATTCAAACAACTATGTAAAGGGAAACGAAATAAACCTCAATTTGAATCCAATTTTGATGTTCCGAAACTTAACGTCGACAGAATCTCTGACAGAACTCGAATCGGCACCAGAAAACTCAAACAAACACGGATTCAGACCCAAACGAGCTCAAGCAATGAACTTCCGATAATAAAAAGACTCCAACTATGTTTCTGTTTTGATTTTTTTCGAAATGGTATTGAATCAAAAGAAAGTAAAATATTTTTGGTATTTTTTTATTGCAATGATCAGATCAGTTCATTCCCCCTCCCCTCTTGTCCCTTTTGTGCTTCTGTTAGTGTGTGTGTGTGTCTTTGGGTGGTGAGATGAGAGGGTCGGGGCTGGTGAGAGGTGTGAGGAGATGGTGGCGAGTCGGCTAGTGGCTGTGGTAGTCGCTGCTTCTCTGCGACGGCTTGAGATCAGAGGGGTTTTGGCAGAGCGTGGCAGCGGCTGCATGTGTGTGTTTAGTTGGTGAAGGTTGTTGCCTGGTTGTTGTCTGAGTTAGAAAAGGGGGTGACCGGCGGCTTGGTGGTGTGTTTGGAGAAGGGCTAGCGGCGGCGGCGGGATTTTGCTTGAGCTCAGGTTTACCTGGGTTGTCTTGACTCCATTGGTAAATTTGAAAGTCTTAATGTTTGGCTGCTGCTTGGGTTTTTTTTTTGGTGTTGAAGAAGAAGAAGATCGAGAAGAGTGGGCAGCGGTTTTAGGGGTGTTAGGTTGAAGATGCTCGTTGATTTTAGGAGTCTGGGTCTTTGGTGTAGAAGAAGGTGACTTTTTCTAGAAAGGTCTCTAGGGTTAGGGAAGGGTTAGTGGGTATTGGGTATTGGGCTTAATGGGCTAATCCGAAAATTGGCCTAAGATTGGACCTATCAAGACACAAAATTGGCCCAAAATTCATTCTTCTTTTCCAAGGGTAAAATAAATGTATCACAGATAATAAAATATAATTAACAATTGACTTTAACTGAAATGGAATTAAAACGAAATTATTCTATATATATTTTTCTTTTCAAGGATTATACTGAAAATAGGATAGAATTAGATTAAAATCATTGCAAAATTAACATAATACTACTACCAAAACACTAATATCCTTGAAAACAAAATGGAAATATTTTTGTATTTTTGAATTTTATGTATGGTAGATAAACTAAAAGTAACTAGATAAAATATCAATTAGCTAAATAAAAGAAAATAATTTTATAATTTTTATTTTTGTTATAAAATAAAGTAAAATAGTTAAAACTAGTTAAAATAGCGATATTAGACCTAAACTAAATATCTAAATGCTAAAATATGTAAAATTTTGGGAGGGTCAAAAATAACATGTCCACATCGCCATGACCGTTCCTCATTTTTTAGCATTTTAGGACCATAAATAGGAATGCATGATGATTTCTAGTTTTTCGTGTGCTAATGTCCATGCCATCTTAATGAATTCGGGCGACGGGTCTCGAATCACCTAAAATTTTGTGGATCCATCATAATGACCTAATGAATAATAGTTATTACTTCGCCATGTCTGTTCCTCCTTTTTAGCGTTTTAAGGCTATAAATAGGAATTCATGACCATTTCTAATTTTTCGTGTGCTTTAGTCCACNCCTGAGGCCTTGCCTACCCAAGTGTGGACCCGGCCTAAAACATGCTACTAGCGTTAAACGAAACTAGCAGTAACGAAACATCCCATTAGTCTTTGTTCTACCTAATTCAACTTTGCTGAACAAGCAAAAAATCCACAAGAAGCAACAGCAAGCAAACTCAGTATACTCAGAAGGTTATCAAACTAATTTCAAACAAGCTAGTGAAATGAAAACAACCAACACAAACTAACTTTAAAAAAAACAACAAAGCTAATTTTAAGAAAACAGACAAGTGAACGAGACAACTAAGCATGTCAAAGCCAGAAATTCAATCAAAAATATTCAAACAACTATGCAAAGGGAAAATGAAATAAACCTCAATTTGAATCCAATTTTGATGTTCCGAAACTTAACGTTGACAGAATCTCTGACGGAACTCGAATCGGCACCAGAAAACTCAAACAAACACGGATTCAGACCCAAACGAGCTCAAGCAATGAACTTTCGATAATAAAAAGACTCCAACTCTGTTTCTGTTTTAATTTTTTTTCGAAATGATATTGAATCAAAAGAAAGTAAAATATTTTTGGTATTTTTTATTGCAATGATCAGATCAGTTCATTCCCCCTCCCCTCTTGTCCGTTTTGTGCTTCTGTTAGTGTGTGTGTGTGTCTTTGGGTGGTGAGATGAGAAGGTCGGGGCTGGTGAGAGGTGTAAGGAGATGGTGGCGAGTCGGCTGGTGGCTGTGGTAGCTGCTGCTTCTCTGCGACGGCTTGAGATCAGAGGGGTTTTGGCGGAGCGTGGCAGCGGCTGTATGTGTGTGTTTAGTTAATGAAGGTTGTTGGCTGGTTTTTGTCTGAGTTAGAGGAGGGAGTGGCCGGCGGCTTGGTGGTGTGTTTGGAGAAGGGCTGGCGGCGGCGGCGGGATTTTGCTTGAGCTCAGGTTTACCTGGGTTGTCTTGACTCCATTGGTAAATTTGAAAGTCTTAATGTTTGGCTGCTGCTTGGGTTTTTTTTTTTGGTGTTGAAGAAGAAGAAGATCGAGAAGAGTGGGCGGCGGTTTTAGGGGTGTTAGGTTGAAGATGCTCGTTGATTTTAGGAGTCTGGGTCTTTGGTGTAGAAGAAGGTGACTTTTTCTAGAAGGGTCTCTAGGGTTAGGGAAGGGTTAGTGGGTATTGGGTATTGGGCTTAATGGGCTAATCCAAAAATTGGCCTAAGATTGGACCTATCAAGACACAAAATTGGCCCAAAATTCATTCTTCTTTTCCAAGGGTTAAATAAAAGTATCACAGATAATAAAATATAATTAACAATTGACTTTAGCTGAAATGGAATTAAAACGAAATTATTCTATATATTTTTTTTCCAAGGATTATACTAAAAATAGGATAGGATTAGATTAAAATCATCGCAAAATTAAAATAATACTACTACCAAAATATTAATATCCTTGAAAATAAAATGGAACTATTTTTGTATTTTTGAATTTTATGTAAGGTAGATAAACTAAAAGTAACTAGATAAAATATCAATTAGCTAAATAAAAGAAAATATTTTTGTAATTTTCATTTTTGTTATAAAATAAAGTAAAATAGTTAAAACTAGTTAAAATAGCGATATTAGGCCTAAACTAAATATTTAAATGCTAAAATATGTAAAATCTTGGGGAGGGTCAAAAATTACATGTCTACAGCTACCCCTCTTTGACTGGAAACACGAAGAGTTTTCAGACAAAGAACGACGAGACATGTTTCTTGACCCGACCCTTATTTAGAGAGACCAAAAACTAAAAGAAATGAGAATGTGACCGAGCCCTGGTATTTGAGATGCCTACATATCCTTAGCTATAAAGGAATCAGGCCACGTATAGTTCAGAAATGAGGAGAGCGACGGAGTGTACCGAGGTGGAGAGCCGATTGAGGTGCCGTCGAGGTTCCGGTCCGCGGTCCTATTATTACATCAAATCAAAATCTAAAAGATCTAAGCAAGCCTATCAGCTATGAGTTACAAGATCCCTATCTATATGTCTACTGAAGGTTGATCTTGAGTCTTGAATGGTTCTTCATGCAGACTTTTGATTTGAGCCTTGATACTTGCTAGTTGCAGGTGCTGGTTCATTCTTCCACGACCTCTTCTGATCAAGACCATACATTCAGTGCTCGTAAGTTCAACCATGTCTTGAGCAATCCGCATCTTGTCTCCGCTTCTGCATTTTGGATTCACTTCTTTCTTCTTCTTTTTTTCTTTTTTTTTTCTTTTTGAATCGAGACTTCTTCTTTTGGGTCATCTCGTGCTGTCGACTCGCATTCTTGAGGCGAGTTTCTGCTACTTCTAACTTGAATTGAATTCTGAAATAACTTCCCTCATTCTTCAGGTGGGCGCCTACTACTGACTTGAAATTTGAAGTAACTCTAAAAAGAACTCCCTTGTTCTCCAGGTGGGTGCCTGCAATCAAAACAACAAAACAAACAAAATTTTCTATCCCAGTTTGCACTAGGAAGATTTGTGAGTTGGTAGCAAAACTGTAAGTCACCTATGCTATTGATGCAATGA